CTAATCCGAAGAGGCCATATAAAAGTCGACCAAGGTGATCGGCCGAGAATATCGCTGCCGTACGAGCCAGTGTTGAGAGGTCCCCAAGAACATCCCAAAACCGCCGTTCTCAGCAGTTGGGCATGGCTCGGTCCACTTTATAACGGATTATTCGCATTGATTTGCATTTGTTCCCGTACAAAATTCAATTGACGCAAAGAATGTTGCCTGCGGACAAGCCTCGTCGATTGGAATGGGCCCAAAGGTTCGTCGAATATGTGCAACCCTGTAGGTCGACGACATCGTATAACGGGACCCCCTATATTCGTTATTTTGATGATATTATGAAAATTCTCACATGATATGAAAATTCTCACAAGAAGTTCCTTTTGAGTACTTTATCCCCTTGAAGTGAATTGTTTATATAGGTCTACGATATCGTATAGCCCCCCATATAACAGGACCCCCCATATTAGGTATTTTGATGATTTTAGCCACATTTTTCAATGGAATTGTCTTTAAATCCACACAAGGGATTCCTTCTGAATACTTTACCCACTAGAAGAGAATTATCTAAATATTTTTTTTTTTAAATTTCGTATATGAAGTTCCGAATACTTACTACAGTCTATGACACAAATTACTTATGCAGGAACACGTCTTCGTATAAACCCCATATAACGGTTTTCATTTGAGCGGTATTTTCCGACGAAATTTTTTTGAAATCTTTCAAGTTTCTTCCAAATGGTGGAGGGTATAAAAAGTCCAGCCCGGCCGAACATAGCTGCTTTTTTACTAGTTGTTGTTGTTTTCAGTTGACTTTCGATCAATGTAGTTTTATTTTCCATTTAACCAATTCTTTAAACCATATTACTTATTTGCACATTTTCACAAATGGTACCAATCTTGCATATTATATCATTTTTATTTTCGTTTTTAATCTGTAAGTTAATATCTTTTGAACTGGAAAAGCAGGCGAAAGTGTGACCCACGGCTGAATATTTCAATGCCATGCCACGAATGTGCAATGGGTCAACAAGTTAAAACAACCATTACCTCGTGGGTATATCTTTTAACAACTTTTTCTGTGGAATGCAATTTTATTTTATGGATGCATCATAAAATGCCACAGCTATTTTAAGATACATTTATCACCATAGTCTGAATGGATATATCACAGTAACGTACAATATTTCCACGTACCATAACTGTGGCAAATTTGTGAAGGTCTGTTCCGATTTTTTTGCTTTGTTCCTGCACATGGTATTGTTTACTCTAGAGTAACGACACCTCTTTCGGATTCGCATGCAATGTGCCAATTTTTTTATGCGAATGCAATGTTTTTTTGTGCGGAAAATGTAATAAAATTGTCCATATAGCCAGAATGCAATTGCGTTTTCTTTTTTTTTGGCCTGTGTATTTATTTTATGACAGTCTAGCGGAATAAGTGCTCAAAATATTTAAATATTCCGGTAAAGCTTGCGTCCGCCCATCAATCATAAAATGCAAATATTTATATATTTTCAGTTTAGTTTGTTTATTTGTTCACTTGTTGTTATCACAGCCATTATCGCTGTAGTTATAATAAGACCAATGGGGTATACGAGTACATACATATGCGATTAAAACGTATTTACCAATTCACATTAGTGATGAACATTTTTGTGTTTTGTTATTATGACCTGCATATAATAAAATATATGAATCTATATTACAGGCATGTCACAAGAATGAATTCGGTACGAAAGTGATTTTAATTTCGTATTTAGCTTCTTCAGAAAATGTAAATCGCAAATTTTTTTTTTGATTTGAAACCACTTTTGTTTTTGCAAGTGAAATTATATTTTTATAGAAACTTGTGACTTTAAACACTCTCAAAATACTTTTAAGTAATAAAAATGTTGTCTTAATAATAAAAAAACAATTAAATTTACATTTTTAATCTTTTTACAATTAGCAAATTTTAATGGTTTCTCAATTGACAAAGACAATTGTTAACAAAATGTTCCCAAATCTCTTTTTCTTCGTCAAACAAAAATTATTCATTTGTAAAAACCAAACAATGTGAAATTACGAATTAAAAACTTAAGCAAAGGGAAAAAAGAACGCACAAAAAATAATTTTGTACAAAAATGTATCTTAAAATATGGTGTAACATGTATTGTGGAATGCTGTTTAATCAATTAATTATTAATTAATATTTTAGGGCAGGCACACGAATTCGGACCGAAGCATCTCTTAAATTTCTCCGGCGTATTTTTCAGTATTGTGTTAACTACTTTGCGCCTCAATTACAGAAACAATCGAAACTTCTGGCATTGCGTAAAAAATAATGAAATGCACAAAAAATTCTCATTATCAGAATATTTTTCGCAAGTTACACTTCTACAATGTTTTCTAATCATGTGTTTTGTTTTGATTCCTCATTCACTCGTTCTTTCAATGTTACCATATTTCGCTCAATGTTACAATATAGAATAGGGTAAGTGTACCAGTAGTGGGCACTTTTTGGATTTTCGATTTTTCATCTTTCAACATTCTGATTTCACTTTCAATTGCAGAAAAGTAAAGTTGTTAATATTCCAAATTTTGTTTAGTTTTCGAAATAATAAACAAAAATTGAATTTGTTTTTATTAAATTGGCAAAATTTGCAATTTTACTAAAATAGTAGTTTTTTTTGCCAGTAGTCGGCACCATTTTCCAATGCTCGGCATGTCTATTTGCCAGTAGTCGGCATATGGTATTTCGGTAACAAAAATATTATTTTGTATATTTTTTTATTTCAAATAGTATAAAACAACAATATATTACTAATTCACAGTTTAATCCAGAATTTGAAATTAATTTAGAAAAGTTGGTCAAAAAGTACAAATAAAAGCAACTGCCGACTAAAATTTATATATTTATTTGAGTAGTTTTTGGATTATTTTTTAATACTTTTATCAATTTTTGGTGAAATTGGTGAAAAATGATATTTTTCTAGTAATAGGCACCCCCTGCCGACTACTGGCAAATCTCTTGTTTTTCTGTTCCTAATGTCGGCATCAAATAATATAACAGAAAAATGCTTGATTTGTATGTTTTCAAGTTATAAAAGTGAACTTCAGGCTGTTATTTACTATTATTAAATATTTCTGATTCCAAAAGTATTAAATTTAATTTTCTTAAATCGATTATTGAGTTGACACCACCACTATTTTTTTCTTTACAAACAAGCACTATCGTACGCGTTAGAAGACACTCACTAAGTTTAACTTTCAAAACTGCCGACTACTGGGACATGCCGAACTTAGGCACACTTACCCTATATAATGTTGACATATTTACACTGAATTCGTAGTTCGCCAAATCGTACGAAATCTTAAGAAGGTAAAAAAATAGTACGATTTTGAATTGCGAATTTCATACCATTTCAATACGATTATGTGACATGCCTGATAAAATTCCAATTCTACAGGGTGTGATAAAAAACTGCAACAAAGTCAAACGCTATAATTTTTAATTTTTTTTAATTTTATTGAATGAAAGCATAAAATGTCGGAAGTAGCATCAAATATTCGAATACGTTTAGATTTGTTCGAATCTCATTTTGTAACCATTATTGGGTGGGGCGTGCTGAGTGCGATGGTTCTGAGTCCGGGTTGAAATGTCCAAGGTCTGCCGCGAAAATCTTCGCTATAATATTCGCGTACATTCTGATGCCACGATCGATTAATACGAGCGGAGAGCATCACCATCACCGTGACCGGCGTTTGAGTTCTGGTGGCCAACCGAAGGTGCACATTTTCAACTGACCTTTTTGGCAAGTAAACACGATAATTTTGTTTGTTTACAAACTGCTGGACAACGAGTGTTTTCTCATCGGCGAAAACCAAATTCGGCAGTTCACCACTTTTGACCAAGCGAAGAAACTCATTAGCTCTTATGAGTCTATTTTCTGTCTGTGGCGGTGGAAGATCTTGCACTTTTGAATATTGCGATATGTTCAGCTCACGATCCATTTCTCGGCAACTGCGACGCGGGTTTCGATCAAGTCGCTTCTTTACTTTTTGAACCATTTCTGCTGATGTTGCTGTTTTCTTCCGTCCACTTCCTTGACGTCGGGCTACGCTACCAGTATCACGGTAATGAGCGATGGTACGAGACACAAAAGATGTATTCACATATAAATGCTGGAGTGCTCTAACGATAGTCATTTGTGGTTTTCTTATATAACAGATCTTGTGTTGATTAAAATATTGAGATGTACCAAGTCTGAATGGAATCTTATGTTAATTTCACGTTTTATGACTTTTATGGATATTGAAAATGTTGACCCTCTTGTGGGGGAGGTACCAGAAGGAGTGGACTGATATTTTCCATCTTTGAGCCGATCTACGTCTAATAATAATGTTGGTTGTGCCAAGTTTAGACCACATCTGATACTCCCTTCCAGAGTTATGGTGAGCACCAACACATCGCTAGATCGACTCCAAATGTCCTGAAACGGATTTGGTCCAAAGGAACGATGAGGCACGTTTTGACCATATCAAATGATATATACCATCTCTGGCCATATGGCTGAGGGTATAAAAATCCAGACTTATCAAAAAATTTTGCACCTATAGTGACCCTAGTAAACCTTATCCATATTCTAGCTTCAATCAATCAGTTCTAAGTACGCTATTTCGCATTCTGATTAAATTGTTCATAATTTTAATGAATATTCTACATTTTCTAATATAATTTATTTTATATATCATTTCTGATTAGAAGGAAGAGTACGGCCTAAAAACACATAAGTCTTTAATATCATCCATTTTCAATGCTCCCATTTAAGAATTATCCTGCGCACCAGATAGACAGAAGTTCGAAGCAAATTTAGGAGAGAGTAAAAATTTTCTTAATTATAAATGCCAATGATTTTCCAAATTCATTTTCGATATCTTACGACAGCTTTCGAACTTCACATAAATTATTACCCTTTTTCATAAGATCATTGTCTAATAAAACCAACATTTTTTCCTTTTCTTTCTTTTAGCCGAAATTCCCGCAAATATCGTCACGTACATGACAATCCGTTGGGCATTATACGCAACACATTGAACAGTGGCGGCTTTGGTCCACAACCACCCAATCTGAACAATGAATTGGGTATTCCACCGAATGCTGGACCGATGAATGCATTTGCTGCCACCTACGGTAGCAGGCCATTGTCACATCCGGGCGGTGGTAGTGGCGTTGCAGCGGCTGCAGCTGCCGTTACAGAGGCTCAACAGGAGAAGGGAATGTTTTCGGTCAGTCAGCTAAATATTGAATTGACTGAAGAGCATGTTTTGCCAAATGGTAAAATGGAATTGACATGTCTGGCGACAATACCATCGGCAGTTGGTCCCGGTGAAGAATTTGCCGACTACAAGACATACAGTATAAAGGGTAAGTTTGTTGGAGGTCTATGACAGAGAAGTTTCCTTTTTAATGTGTTTTGTAAAATTTATTAAGAAGTTACAAAAAATCAACATATGTTGTGGAACACGAAATAATATCCAATTTTCAGGGAAATTATCAAAAATTAAAATATTGATATTTGAGGAAATATGTGCATCGCCAAAACCGATTTGAGAGTAAAGATAAAGAAGTTCACTTTCAAGTACATTTTTCGCAGAGAGAGAATTACTGCAATCAAAGTAGAGTGAAAAATATAACATATCTCACATTAGAATGGAAAATTGAACATATTTCAGAGTAGAGTAGAAAATGAAATATATTGTTGGTCACTCTGATTCCTAAGATGCTGTAGAATACAGGGTGAAACTGCAACAAAGTCAAACGCCATATTTTTTACACCATATTTATACCCTACAACATTATGTGTTGGGGGTATTATAAGTTTGATTGGGCCAAAAATTATGTAACACCACGAAATATTGATTTCCCACATAGGAAAGTATATATGGATCTTCCTATCTCGGCGAGCTGAGTCGATCTAGCTATGTATGTCCGTCCGTCCGTCTGTCCGTCTGTCCATGTTAATTTGTAATCACTCTACAGGTCGCAATTATGGTCCGATCTTCACGAAATTTAAAATGGAGGTGGGGCTAGGGTCAGAATAGAACCCTATTTCTTTTGGTGATGATCGCATAATATTTAGGGGTTGAAATGGACCAAAAACTGAAAAAATTCCTGATTTTTCACTTGCTCTACAGGTCGCAATTATAGACCAATCGACGCGGAATTTCGCATGTAGCTAGAGTTAATGGCTGGCAAGAAGCCTGCCCATTTGGGTGGTCATCGGCAAATATTGAGCGGGTAAAATAGACCATATCTTTTTTGTTGAAAAAATTTAAAAATTTTCATTAAACCGCGAATATTTTAAATCCCAGCGAAATCACAAAGCCATGACAAGGTTACTTCTGATCTTTACATTGATGTTAACATCCAAGAAAACGAATATATAGCAAAATATGTGCGATATATATGTTTATCAAAGAAGATATGCTTGAAAAATCTCTTATATGTCGAGAACGGCTGAACTGATTTCGACAGTTCTCATTAATTCAGAATGGCCCCTTGGCAGGAAACATAAAACGTCTAAAAAATCGCATAAAAATATCTCTCTAAAGATGAAAATATTGATTTTGTAAAATTTTCTCATATTTTTTCCATTTTGTCATATTTTTGGCATATTTTCATTTTGAATTAAACATTTGGTAATATTTCTACAGCTAACAAAACTAAGTAGTTAGGATATCAGGATATCATATACAGATCGCATTTATGGCCTGATCCTTACGAAATTTTGCATGGAGATAAGATGAGGGTCAGAATAAAAGCCTATTCTTTTTGGAGATGATCGCCATATATTTAGGGGTTGAAATGGACCAAAAAACTGCAAAATTGTCAGCAGGTCGTAATTATGGAGGTTACCGGACATTGCAAAAGCCAAGCAGTTTTGGATGGTCATCCAAAAATATTCAATGTGTGAAGGAGTTTGCCAACTTTTATAGACAAAATACGAAAATGTCCATTCCAGTGACTTTTTGGAGAATTCACAAATACAGGAAAGACGCACTTCTGACTATTTCGTTAACGCTGATTTCGTTGAAGAATATAGTCAAATGGCTGTATCTCATATAGATGCGTTTCAATCAAAAAGCAATAATAAATGTTAATCTTTTGCCACTTCTTAGAGATTATAGGTCTTTGGGAAATATTGGTTCCAGATCTAGGAAGACCATTTACATGCAACATCTACCAATAAATTGGAAATGAGCAAATTCGTTTATGTTGCTATTATTCGAAAATTAGAGAACAAAACCTGATGGTTTTCTTTTATTATTTGTCACAATATCTTGTGGAATTCTTTCGAGTATCTCGCCTATATAAACTGTATGGTTTATTACAGTGTTGTAGGGTATTCAACGTTCGGCCCTGCTCGACTGTAGCCTTTGCTTACTTGTTTTTATTTCAAATCAAATCAAATTTAAGAATAAGTTTCGATTTGCTCGTATTGTTCGTTCGTGATACTGGTAGCATAGCCCAATGTCGGAAGTGGACGGAAGAAAACAGCAACATCAGCAGAAATGGTTCGAAAAGTAAAGAAGCGATTTGATCTAAACCCGCGTCGCAGTGGCCGAAAAATGGCTTGTGAGCTGAACATATTGCAATATTTCATTCGGCAAATATTGAAAAATTTGTTGGAATTCAAAAAATGCAAGAACTTACACCGCAAAAAAAAGAAATTAGGCTCAAAAGAGCAAAAGAGTTGCTTTGGTTGGTCGAAAGTAGTTAACTGCCGCATTTATTTTCTCCGATGAGAAAACATTCGTTGTCCAGCAGTTTGTAAACAAACAAAATGATCGTGTTTGCTTGCCAAAGAGGTCAGCTGAAAATGTGCACCTTCGGTTGGACACCAGAACTCAAGCGCCGGCCATGATGATGGGGTGGGCCGACCTAGCAGCTGACGGTCGCACTCCGCTCGTATTAATCGACCGTGGCATCGGAATAAATGCCGAATATTTTCGCAAAAATATTTTGGAGTGTGCATTAAAGCCTTGGGCACGCAAACATTTTGGCCGCAGACCTTGGACATTCCAACAAGACTCAGCACGCGCCACCAAAGAATGGTTACAAAATGAGATTCCTCGCTTCATTTCCAGCGCACAATGTCAAAATCTCCAGACACCAATCCGTTGGACTATTGTGTCTGGAGTAATTTGGAAAGCAAGATTGGTACTGAAAAATATCAAAGTGTCGATCACCTTAAGCAAGCGCTGCGCCGGGAATGTGCCAAAATACCGCAGAGCAACAATCGGGCAACGAGTGACGGTTTCATTTCATTTCTATCTATCTTGCTTAATTCTCCATGTTATAAACAAATGCACATTGAATAAAATTAAAAAGAAAATAGAAATTGTGGGGTTTGACTTTGTTGCATTTTTTTTATCTCACCCTGTACATAATAGTGGACCCACCTTCATAAAGTTTTGCAGGGATAGGTTGTCTTGAACAGTGCGGCAGGTACTTACTCCTGCTGCAGGATGCTGTATTGTATGTAGTTTTAAGTTCCAACTACACTCCTTTTGTTAAAAGAAGATCTTGGTTTGGGTTAGTTGGCATTAAATTTTGCAAATTCTGTTTTCGAATCCAGATCTACTTGACAGAATTTAATTGATTTTTAATTATAAATAAATCAAAGTGCTAGCAACAACTATGTTTATAGATTATTTGACTATCTTCTGAACTATTGACGTATACATAACCCATAAAACCGCAAATTTTCAATCTTAAAAACTGAAATATATAACAATTGTCCTATCTCAATAAATCTCAAAGAAAAATTCAAAAATCATTAACTGTACCACATGCAATTTCCGTTTTAAAAAATATTAATTTGAAACATAATTTGCATAATAACCTTAACTTTCAATCTGTACGAAAATCATATTATGAAATATTCTTGTTTGTCTCTTTCATTCGCTCATTATTGCAGTTGATGTTCAGCGCCTGGAAACGACAACATTCTCCACAACAACACAAAGTATAGGCATGGCCGCATTGGGCAATGGCGTGACACCATCATCGGCAGCATCAACGCACAGCAGATACAGTTCTCAAAAGTTCAACCACAGTCTGTGGATGCAGCTGTGTTTGGCAGTCATCTTTACGCTGTGGTGCACGACACTGCGACATTAAAGTGATGGTGGTCAACAAACAACTAAACAAAAAAATAAATAAATCCAGGCCACCAAAAATCCTCCCCGCCCTGCTCCGAAACAACAACAACAAAAAATCTCAAACCAATAATAATTAAATTTGTAAATGTATATTTTCGTAAAGATGAATGGACCCAACCGAAACCAAACAACCGAACGACCGACCCAGCAAGCGAGCACGACAACGCGTTAACCAAAATTAGCCATGGCTAAGAGTGGATATGGATGGACGACGGTGGGCTATGTAGTCATACTCCGATATGTGACCACCGAGTAGAAGGATAAATTATAAAACCAAAGAAAAATAAAAAAAAATAATTTTTTGTTTGCGCAAAGTGCATGTAAGTACTACGTACATAAGTAAAAGGATAAAGTCAAATATTTTTGTTTCGCTTATTTTTTACATTGGACATAAAGTGCCAGCAGAAAGCAGAAAAAAAGACAAAGAGAAATTGTAAAAATGAAAGAAAAAGTTATGAAAAATTATGAAATTAATTAACAGAATAAAGTGTAAAAGAAAAAGGAAGTAAATGTATGCATGTACAAAAGGAAAACATAAGGTTACATGGCGGTCATGTACATTGTGGGGGATAATAAAATTTGTATAATTTTTTTCTTTCTTGCGCATAGAGAAAGGGACATGAATTAATTTTTACAGATATAGTTAATATTTAGGGAACATTTCGTAGTTGTAGTAACGATAACTACCGCCCAAGGTAACCTTGTGTTTTCGCTGGCACCAAACATATAAGTGTAAGCAAAAAGAGTACCTTGTATTCAAAAATTGAAATTTTTGCTGTAGGGAAATTGTTGTTTTGTTTGTAGCTTTCGATTCAAAATAGAAAAGGATTGGTACAAAACTAAAATTTGATACAAAAACAATATAAATTGTATGAGTTAATGCCTTGTAGAGAAATTAAAAGGTTTAAAATTGGATTTTGAATCTTGTTTGTAGTTATCCAAAAAAAAATTATACTTCCTTTTCAACTTCTTCTAAATTACTGAAAAATAGGAGATTTGACAAGTACCAAAGAGAAATTCATACTTTAAGGGAACGAAAAGAACTAAATTGTACGAACGAAGTCATTAAACTATCAGTAAACGGTAGAAAGTTGTAATTTTCGCATGAGGACCACGCTTGATGTAGAGAGTTATATAAGACGGAATTCTTTCAAGTGTACAAAAGCTACAAAAATACAATATTCTTAAATTGGAAAGAAATTGCGAACTTTTCCATGAGGTGCGCAATCCGACTTATCGAATTATTTTAATTAGGGATACGACAAATGTTATTAAAACCATTAATTTTCCACGAAGTCCGAGAATTATAGGTATATAATGTCTTCAGAGATATCGTGAATAAACTCTCAAGGGAGTCAAATATGGTTAAAACTCCTTTTAAACCGAATCGTAGTAAGTCAAAACATTCTACAAAATTATTTTTCATAAATTTCTACTATCTTCAGACAAAATATTGCATTCCGAAGACACTATTTACTTAAACTGCACCGATTCCGTGGAATCTTAATCTGAACAAGTAAAAAAATTAAGTTCCGATACCGAATATCGAAAAGTAACGTTATATGGGACTATACCAAAACGTGGACCGATATATCTCATTTTCAATACCAACCATCCTAGACAAAATACAAATTGTTCTGCTAAATTTTGATGCTCTACGTCAAATAATGTGGCTGTCAAATAATCTGGGCTGTCTTCGCGATTTTAGTTGCTTTAGTTTTGCCTACCAGTGGATATTTTTCATCCGATTTGTTATTTTTGTCCTCCGTAGCCGTAATATGCACTTTGTAACAACAATATTAGAGGAAATATATCAAATACAGCTCAGAAATACCTTTGCTAAATTTTATCGAGATCGGGCCAGATTTGGATGTAGCTGCCATATATAACATCGTCCGGTTTGGCTTGTATTGCGCATCAAACGTGTAATATTAGCCCAAATGGGATGGAATTTGGCACCTACTGCTGAATTGAGTCTGGAAGCTATTGTGTCAAATACCGCTCAAAAATATATTTTCCAATTTTATAGAGATCGCTTCAGATTTGGATATAGCTTCCATATATATATCTTTACCCAATTTCAAGTTAATTGTGCACCAAATGGGCAATGCAAGCCCATATTGAATATATACAAATGCTTCGGCATATTTAGTCCTTTGAAGTTTAAATGAAAATTATATTCATAGCTTGTATGATTAATTCTTCCATAAAAACTTTTAATTGTTATGTGAAGTTCTACTAAATAAGTAAAGTAGTGTAGGGTATCATCAAGTCGGCCCCGCCCGACTTTAAGACTTCATTTTCTGGCTTTGGCTCTCCTTGCATAATCTGCTGGGTTTCCCCGTAATTATTAAAACCAATTTTTATTTTGTCGCACAGCGTTATTATTGAACTACTGATAAGAACTAGGATGTTTTAGATTTATGTCAGATCAGACAGGCTATTGGGAAATTCGCAGAGTTTTTTAAGCTGCGAATGGTATTAAAATGTAGAAAGAACATTATTATAGACAAACAGTCTAAGCTATTTGAATTTTGAAAGTGGGCTGAGATGGGGCTATATAAGGCTTATAAAAGCTAAATTGTGGAAATTTTGTATGAAAGTCACTTTATAAATAGGGAATTTCTTTTATGATTTTTTAAGTACATGCCAAGGCGAAGTGTTGAATATTGCATCTTATATTGATCGAAGGCTACCAACAAAACTTTGTAAAACTCTTAGAATACCATAACTCAAAAAGAAGGAGAATTTAGCAAATGAAATTATATCACGGTGTGTAATTTAGCTGTAAATATAGAGAAGATACTTCTGAAATTGTTGAAAAATTGATCATATCTAGAAAATTATAATTATGAAAATTATACAAAAAAATTAAATTTTTTTTTATAAATAAAAAAATAAATATTGGAAAAAAATCTCCTTATTGTTTAGAAGGAAACGTTTAGTTCCAAATTAGTTGGTCAAAACTAAAAATAAAAGAAATTGTGGAAACACTCCTGACTACAAAATTCGTATACCCCCAATAAAGAAAAAAAAAAGTGTAATGTTTTCTAGAACTCCTGTAAAACCAAAGAAGCTTATTAAAACAATCAGTGTTTAAAACATAAAAACACACACACAAACAACAAACAGAAAAGTTAAAAACAGAAGAAAAAACGAAAATAAAACAATACATTTTTTCAGCGACTATGTGTAATTATGTAAGTTTGCTCCAATAGACAACCAAATAAACCAAACTATGAAACCAAAAGAGGGACATTAAGATGTGTTTTATTTTATATATTATTTTATAATTAAGAAATGCATTGTAAATTATGATAACAATGACGATGGTACGCATGAGTTCCAAAACGTTTTGTATGCTAAATATGACTAAATAAAAAAAATATTGAAAAAAAAAATTAATGATAAACTATCAAAAATGTTGACTAAAATCTTGTTTAAATTTTAGCAAATATGTTTAGAGTGTAATGCAATTAGCTATGGAATGGTAAATAAGGAATGTATAAAAAAATTAGAAAATGTATTTTCAAATTCTCAGATTTACATAGAATATAATCAATTTTTATACGAATTCGATTCTGTTAAAACCAACATAGTTTTAGATGAAAAAAAAAAACAATTTTTTATAGATTAGAGTAATAATTTCCATGTAAAAATTAAAATTATTTCGAAATGAAATTTCTTTATCTATAAAAACCCAAACAAAAAAAAATGATTTTAACAATTTATGTTGTAGTCAAAGCAATCCTCTTTTGAGTTGGGCAAACCGTGTTTTTTATACCATGCACCACAAGGTGGTCAGGATATTTTGTCTTTGTGCATTTGTTTGTAACAGGCAAAAGGAAACGAGATAGACCCATAGTTCCTTCTGATGATCTGCATAAAATCACATTCTGAGTTCATTTATGCATGCCCGACCGTCTGTCCGTGTATTTTTGTAAACAAAGTACAGATTGCATTTATTGCCCGATCCAGATGAAATTTTGCACAAATATTTTTTTTGACCCAAGGACGAACCGTATTGAAATAGGAGATAATAGGTCAAAATTTAGATATATATTATATATCTTCGTCCGATTTGACTTTTATTGTGCACCAAACGGGTAATATCAGCCCAAATAGTATGGAATTTTGCCCATACGACCAGCTTAGGCCAAAGTAAGCCAAATTTTTTTTGCCAAATTTTATCAAAATGTACCTGTAGCTCCCATATATATTGTTCATCCGATTTTTATACCCACCACCATTCTATGGAGGGTATATTAACTTTTTCATTCCGTTTGTAACTAGAAATATTCATAATAAATTCTAGTATATACGATGTCCCTCTCTCTGCCCGTCTGTCTGTTGTAATCACGCTATCTTTCGAACGAATAGAGATAGGAGGCTAACATTTTGCGTACATGCATAGTTTTCAGTAGGCAGGTTAAAATGGGCCACGTCGGTCTACGTTTCCGTATAGCCCCCATACAGCGGTACCTCCCCATATTCGGTATTTTTATGATTTAAGCGACATTATTTACCCGAATTACTTAATATTTTGTATTTGAAGTTCGTAATGGGTACTACAACCTATGACAAAAACGTTTGTATGCAGGTCCAAGTCTTCGTATAGCCCCATATAACGATATTCGGTATTTTAGTGATTTCAACAACATTATTCACCGGAATCGTTTCAAATTTCGTACTGGAAAATCGTAGTGGGTACTACAACCTATGTCAAAAAATTGTGTATCCAGGTTCAGATTATCATATAGACACCAAATAACGGTTCCTACCGATATTCGGTATTTTCATGATTTTTGCGTCATTATTTACAGGAGTTTCGAATTTCGTATTTGAATTTTGTAACGGATACTACAGTCTATGAATTGTATGGCCCCCATAAAACGGTACCTCCCGATAGTCGGTATTTTTTTGATTTAAGCGACATTATTCACCGGAATCGTTTCAAATTTCGTATTGAAAGATCTTAATGGCTACTACAACTTATGGCATA